TCCCCCAGCTATGGGTAAATAGTAGGACAGACCGGGTTCTATAGCCTTGGATGGCAACTGGTCTACCGCAGAAAGAAATGACAACCTGCTGCGGGAAAATATACTTCTTCAGTCATGTACCGAAAGATACATGATCACCTAAGCGTGTATCATGCACGGCACATAACTGACCGTCAATTCAATTAATGTATATTCTTCTAAAGAATAGGTATTACTAATACTACTACTGATACTACTACTACTACTACTAATAATAATAATAATAAAAATTATTGAACAGCGAAAAACAGATAACATTGTTCTCAACACAACTAAAAATGAATACTGAATATTTGATAGGTCAAGATCAATTAAAATATAAGAGCAAAGCAACCCGAAAATTAATACTCTGAACTGAGGGTTACGATTGTCAGATTGTGGAAAATGCCGAAGAAAAAAAGTTAGTCATCGCAATGGTGATTAGAGCATTTGGCGAAATCCTATTGAAGTTTAATGAATATGTCGAGCATTTGTAAAAATACACCTCGTAAACGCTACAAAAATCTGCCTTTTTGGGTACAGAAAGCAAACTTCGAAAAGTACGGGGTGTCTGAGGTCCTTGCTGGGACTTGACAGGAAGTCTCTTCCATGGTATTCAAGGTATCCAAAGAACAACAGTACCACCATGAGACATTCAAAATAAATAATAAATAATAATATATTTATCCGTTAACTTTTATTCTAATGTATATAAGCTTTTAATGGATGCTGTAATCCAACATTATTGTAAACATCATATTTATGAAGTACACATGTTTGGGTAAACATACCTGTTTTTGTTTAAACTGCGAAATTAATGTCTATCGGCCTAGATCACGAGGAGCCTGACTAAAGAAAATGTACCTGCTGACAGAAATCGTTTTCATTTTTTCAATTCAGAAAACCACTTTTAAGCTGAGAGCGCCTTGCTAATTATGATGGCTTCCAGTAGCCTAATTGGTAAGGCACACTTGGCTTAAAATGTTTTCAGTGATTACCAAATATAATAATAATAATAATAATAATAATAATAATGTGGCACATGGGAACATCAACAATTCCTGTCGTAGTTGGAGCCCTCGGATTGGTTAGAAACGATTCCAGTAGACTCATCGAAGGAATTCCTGGTAGCCCATGCCTTAAAGAAATACAAAAATTGTTCTCACTAGTACAGCCTACACCTTACAAAGGGCTTTATCCATGTCAGTTGTAGCTGGGTCTCTTCGAATGATTAGAAAGCTCATTGAAGGGATTCCTGGAAGCCCATGCCTTCGTTCGATTAGCAAGGTCGATTTTACTGTCTTTAAACTACAATCTTCCACATTATGAAATGAACAAATTCCGACAATTATTTTAAGACATTTTTATGTTTATACATTCTTTTTATAGATACAAATATTTAAGTAAATGCTCTGTTTTATAATAAACAGTATTAATAACATTTACCGCCCTGAATGTCCGAGAAATTTTTATAGAAAATAAAATAATTTGTCCATTTCATAATGTGTGATGTTATTTGTTTACATTTGGATACGCTTATATAACAGATATGAATGTACGTGAGAGATTCATGGAAGATTAAATTTTAAAGACAGTAAAATCGACCTTGCTAATCGAACGCTCCTCTGTGGCCAAATCAGTTAAAAGCACGTCAGTCTATATGACGTTTCCGTATATATATATATATATATATATATATAATTTAAATCAAAACAGACCACTTTAAAGTTCCATGTAATAAATTATTTCACCACAGCCCCTTTAAAGGACTGCGGATCATCAGACTTTACTTCCAAACAAAAAATGAAAAGAAAATTTACACATTTTTGACGGGCCGTATTAAACATGTAAATTAACGAAGTGAGGGAGTGAGGGGGAGAGAGAAGACATGACTGAGTTAGCAGATATTGACACATGTGTCAAAAATGTGTAAATTTTCGCGTGTATTCTGTGACGGAAAAAGAAACATGTCCGTCGCAGAAGTCGCTATAAGAGTATATTGATATGCAAATTACGTAGCATCCTATTCCAGCTGTCGACGAATGAAAAAATAGGTTCTGCCGATAAAAGCAGTTGGTGTTCTTGATTCGGAGGAGGGAAATTCGGGCTTTTTTGGCTTCGGCGTTTGTTAGAGAGTGAGTTATTTTCCTGACTGGTTACACGCATTGTGATTCGAGATAGTACCGGCGAATTGAGTTTTCAGCATTTCTTTCTGTTCCCGATATTCGTGTCTGTACATACGGTGATTTTTCTTTGTGTTGTGGAAGTAATCCGCAACAAATACTTCCTTTGCTTTCAGGAGGCTTACAATTACAGTTACATAAGGTGCCACTTGAAATTCTAACAGAGTCAGCAATAGTCTATTGCATTTCCATAACAGGATTCTGCATACTTCATTCCATATGTGTCACAAAGAAAGTTAATGAAATCAAGTGCGTGGATCAATTCCTGGCAAGTTGAGGTCTACCTTAAATTTACGCCATCGGCACTTTTTTCTACTCTTTTTTTCTTTCACCTCCCAGCAACTCTTGGAAAGCCAAACGGCGATATGGGAATGGATGACGGGAACAGGGTTTGGTGAAACTGGAAGCTTCTAGCCATCGGCGCCATCATCAGAAAAGAAGCAAATAAGAAATGAAATTCTTGAATACGAAATAAAGCCGACAACAACGACACAGCTTTCTTAACAGAGTCGATTGACTCATAATTCACTATTTACATTATTCGAACTATTGTCCTCATATTTGTCGCCATATTTATTACAACGTTTCGGCCGTTGTACGCTCCGGCCTTCTTCAGATGTTTTGAATGTCGAACTGAACAGTTTATTTCGCTCACTGGGGTAGACTGTTCTAGTTCCACGTGCCATGTTTAATGGATGTCAGTTATCAGTTATCGCCTGTTAATTCTCCTCTGAAAGTTCTCCACTGCCTTAACCGGGTATTGAACTCACACTCTTTGGGCCCTGTCACTGGATCTGAGTAACACCTTTATCCACTGCGAATCTACCCCAGTGAGCGAAGGGTTCAGTCCGAATAATGTAAATAGTGTACATAATACCTCATCTCGGAAATATAGACAGATACTGAAAGGCCGAAACGTTGTAATAAATATGGCGACAAAGATGAGGACAATAGTCCGAATAATGTAAATACTGTACATAATACCTCATCTCGGAAATATAGACAGTGACTCATAATCCATAGAAGCTAAATAGTACTTTCTTTTCAAACACCCTTTAGATTTATAGAAAAATATTAGAGAAACATGCGTTTTTAGAAAAATAAATTAAAATTCTTATATAAAATGAAATCTAATAAAAAGAACCGACGTCATTGTGTTCACAAACCCAAACCGCAGTTAACTGTGGATTCCATAATACTTTTCATGGCTGTATACTATGTGATACTGGAATATATATGGTTTTGCATTCAGACCGCCAGTGAGAAAACACAGGCGATTCCATTATTGTATTCTGTAGATCACGTGACCATGGAAGAAACGCATGACGTCACGTGACGTCCAATTGATCGCCATAGTCTATTCTATCCTCGATTACTATACGGACCACTATTCTCTACTCAGTTCACTATACTATTTCTAAATTCGGATCACTATACGGATTACTATTCGAGCGAGTATTATCGAAGAAATACTATTAGTGCGAGTGTTATTCGAAGGCGTCTAACACCAGTATTGTTCAACAGCGTTATTATAATTGTATCTGCGATTACAAAGTCTCTACTACAACGAGCATCACAAAATTGACAACGAGTATTTTATAGGATCACAAATGTGGCAACGAGTGTTCGTTGACATCACAAATGTTTACTAAATGACAGTTATTTAACCCATAGCTTGCGGGGAGAGATAATTTTTCCAAGAGTAATTACGCGAAAGTGAATGCTTCAAACTTAATCGGAATTAGAACTAGATTCGCTAATCATTCCCTAAGTAAAAGTATATACGATATAAAATATGAAGTCACTTTATAACGTAGATCTTGCCAATATGTTTCTTTGACACGTGATATAAAAATGTCTGGACTAACTGGAATCCGAACGGGGATTGTCTACAAATATAAATCTCGACTTTATTCAACTGATTGCAAGGAGACAAGCGCTTTTCCTTTCCTTGACCTTTGATTATAAAGGTAATCGCATTCTATCGTCTTGTTTTATTGTGTCTTCTTCTTTAAGTGATTGCTTTCCGATCTAAACGCTTTTGGCATTTGCAAGCAGCGAACTGAATAAAATTTGTGCGGACAACTTACTCTTCGTTCTTGAAATGCCAAGATGGTGCTTCTCTTGAGAGCAACAAAGAACAAAAACAACAACAAAAAAAAAATCATCTTAAAGGTCAATGACAAATATTCTTGCACTTTTTATCAAGCAAATATGACATTATATAGAATCAAGCTAAAGCCAACTGATGACGCACCTGTCAGAAGAGTGGTGAATTGTGAAATTTAAAAAAAAAAAGAAATATATCCCAGTTTCTTAGTATTCGTTTAACTTTTGGTAGGCATCTTTTGTTATCCTAATAGGTCTTCGAATTTCGGTTGTCGCATTTCCCGTCATTTCCCTGCAATTTACACCCGGCACGGTGTTCCTTTTGGTACGGCATGCTTTTCTTTGCAACCCGCTTATTTTGTTCCGATTTGACTTATATAAAATTTCTCGATGGGATGCTTATCAACAACAATTCGCACTGGTAGGACTATTCCAAACAGCATTTTATTTGGTGCAAAACGTATCAAAAATCAATAAGATTCCTAGTAACATAAATGGAATTTGTTAACTAGAGAACTTTATTGTAATTAAGATATTATGATCTTCTTTAATGAAAGATGCTTCTAACATTATTAATCTCTACTCTGTGAATATTTCCAGAACTAGTAATAACTGCACAGAATTGAAAACAGACAATAATAAGCATTTCCAGAAGGTTGTTTTTTTTATCTGTGTCGTTCTTTGTTGCAGTTTTCATATTTTTCATTCATATGTGAGCCATTAATTGTGATGTAAGCATACAGAAGACGCTTATCTCCCTTTGGTTGTAATGTGTCACGTGGGTCTCACATGCCAGTCGCTTAATGACGTCACGCCATACAGTGACGAAAACAGCAGTCAAATTCAGTTCGTTTAAAGAAGCCAAGCGAAAAGTTTTTTTCTTCCATAGCTCTCTCCTGTTACAGTGTCAGCTGTGATGCTATACCTTCTTCCTGTAAGTAAACGGCAGAACCCTATTATAAATGTACACGAAATGTTGGCATTTCCATTAGGTGGTCCATTCGAAAGCTGTTAACGTTCGCCAGCTATTGAGTCAAGTTTCATTTTTTTTTCTAGAATTGCTGACAGCATTTCATCTAAGACTGACATGCACTTTGGCTGAACCTAGAAATTTTGTATGTAGATTATTTTTTGAATGATTTCTATAATTCAAGGCGTATCCTCTTACAACCTTAACTTTCTTCAAACATGGCCGATTTCAGAAATTCAAAATCACTTCAACAATGGTCGCCATTACATATCCGCTTTTATAATTTTATGGATGAAGAAATTTATTTAAATCGATGACTAGAGCCTTCAGGGATCCAATGTTGGTTAATCTAAGATGGTAGTCAAAATAACTTCCAAATCATGTTTTCAGATATAAAATGATTCACAGATTGTGTTTTCTGTATCTAATCATATATTTTCGAAGCAATCCTATAAAATGATGTTAAAGGCCAATGAAAAATTGTATCATGGTAAGAGCCAGTATGGCTGACAATATGTATATCAATATGGCCTAGAAATAGATTAATCTTGAAATGTTGGTCTATAAACCTCTGTATATTCTACCTTATTACTGATAAAATAATTCACTTCATATGAAGGTGGTGATAAAGCTGCTCGCCAACAATCATTTACAACTGGCTTTCGAGCCAACACAATATAAATAACGATTTGGAAAGAGTTAAAGTAATGTCCATACAGTTACCGATTTCATTATGTTCTCGTCGTTTCGCATTAAGCTGCGAGTTTCTTGGAGGCCAACAGATATAAAATAGTGGGCTGTTCACAAATATATGACTTGAGATCGAAATTATTATCCTGTAATGAATACAAAAAAAAGATATAGTGGAAATATGAAATGGGTGATATTGTTTTTTGTTTTTTTCTCAAAACTCTTACGAATGAAGAAAATTCACTCGACGGATTTTCAATGAGGTCCCCTAAACGATATAAATAAACAATAAATAAATAAAATAAAACTAAAGGGAATGAAAATAAATATAAATGGTTAGTCTAAGCCCCACCCGCAAAAAAAAACTGTTTTGTTGATTTAATGCCATCTCAAATATTGTTGGGTTATTTAATATTGAATTTTGTATGTGGCACCCAATAAAGAGCAAATCTACTACTGTTGCATTCAAAGAGCTTCCCTTAACATTACAATATACGCATAAGCCTCCTGCTTCCTCCTTTAACGTTCATATTACACGCCTCATTCAGAAATCTTTTACCTGAATGAACCCTGGGCCTTTCAACGGATCAGCATTAGAATATATATATATATATATATATATATATATATATATATATATATATATATATATATATATATATATATATATATATATATTCTTATATATATTATTCTCCCAATATATATGTATATATATATATTGTATATATGTATATAATTGTATATTATATATATATAATTGAATATTGTATATATATGTATATATATATTGTATATTGTATATATATATAATTGTATATTGTATATATATATATAATTGTATATTGTATATATATATTGTATATATATATTGTATATTGTATATACATATATAATCATATATTGTATATATATATTGCATATATATGTATTTTTATATTGTATATATATATATATATTGTATATTGTATATATATATTTGTATATATATTGTATATTATATATATATATATATATATATATATATATATATATATATATATATATATATATATTAGCGAGTAGCGAGCAAAAGGTCAGAACGATGATCAAGATTTGGAAGAGGAAGTGTGATGGTGTTTGGCATGATTTCATTTGCTGGTACGGGACCTTTTTTTAGGCTAAACGGTAAAATTAACGCAACTGTATACAAAAAGATATTGTAGAAACATGTACCTAATTTGAGAACTGCAATTAATCAACCAGCTGTATTTATGCAAGATAGCGCGCCGTGTCACACAGCGAAGTCTGTTAAGATATTTCTTTCTGAGTACGATGTTACGGAGTGGCCTGCTTAAAGCCCAGACATGAATCCTAGTGAGAATGTTTGGAAGTTACTAAATGAAAGAGCTAAGGAAAAGAATCCAAGAAAACGTCGAAGAACTATGGATTAATTTGAAAGGAGAATGGGCGAAAATATCTGTTTATGAATGCAAGACATTAATTTGCTTATTTAGCAAAAGATGCCAAGCTGTTATTGCAAGTAAAGGTCTACATATCAAGTACTAATGAATTATGAATGCTATTTTCATTTGGATATGATGCATCCATTATAATACTATGATTTTTTAAATCGTTCTGATGACTTAAGTGTTATAAAATTATTCTTATAACTTTATCAAAATGAGTTTATTGATCTTTATAATTTGGAATTATATAATTTACCTTTATATCCTTATTTTTCCTTGATAAAATGTTCTTTGAAGCTTTAAAATAAAGAGTTATTTCATATTTAGACTTTTTCTTAGCATCGTTCTGATCATTATGCTCGCTACTGTATATATATTGTATGTATATATATATAAAATATATAAAAATCCTTGAAGCATTATACATCAAACAGTTGAAATCCAACCTAAACAAAATCAATTATGGCATCTCTACAAATATTCTTAAATGTCTATAATTGGTAACAGAAGCCATTGGTTTATACCAACGGCTTGCCGTACTTCTCCAATTCACTCTCCAAATCATGTGTGACGTCATGAGATGCGGTGCGATTTTCGCTTCTAGCGTCTTATATGCACGTGTTTATCGTTACTTAGAAATCATCTATGTAAACAATCATAGACTATCATCACTGTCTTGTTCGTATATTGCTTAATATGTTGTAATTGACATCTTTGATAATGGCTTATGTAATCCGAAAGCTTAGATTGTATTAAAAAAATATGGATCAATATTGTGAATTTCTTTCTTCGTTCAATGATAATGTTATTAAACTTATTAGACGTTATGAAAAGAATTTACATAAAATAAATAGACAACACTTGTTTATATTATTTAATGAAACGTATATATATATATATATATATATGAATTAAATAATTAAACAAACTTATTTAATTAATATTTGTCCTGGTTTGGCATTGAGCTCTCTGGATCACATTCTCTTTGGAATTATCCACACGGATTAGCAAACCCTTCATTACATTACTCTATATATATATATTAAGAAATGGACAAGGTCCGACAATTTATTTTTTAAAGACATATTTTATGTTTAACGTTGTTATTTTATAGATACAAGTATTTAAGCAAATGCTCTGTTTATGATAAACAGTATTAAATAACATTTACCGGCCTGAATGTCCGAGAAATTTTCATACAAAATATTCGTTCTTTGTTATTTATAGATAAATAGATTTAAACATAAAAATGTCTTTAATAAATAAATTGTCGGACCTTGTCCATTTCTTAACATATGACGTCATTTGTTTACATTCGATACGCCAGAGCAGTTATGAATGTACGAGATGCCGAGTTCGAATCCAGGTTGAATCCATTACATTCACTTACGTGCTAATACCCTTGGGAAAGGTGTGAATCCTATTCTTCTCCCTCCGGCTATGGGTTAAATAGCAGGACAGACTGGGTTCTATAGCCTTGGATGGCAACTTGTCTAGGAGAAGGACAACTCTGAATTCAAAACCTGAGGGGGGTCGTTTGGGGACCTTGTGGCACGCAGTGCACCAGGTCTCTGTATTCGGCCCTTCAAAAAGTGTGGATGGTCCTGCACGAAACCTTCACCACTATAATCGAATCTCATGTGCCGGTGTAGGGCTGTCAGTTTCCTGGAAACTGATCTGCTTGACCCTCATACGTCGAACCCGACGGTAGAATTGATTTTTTAGATAGGGTTAATGTGAGTAAAATTTTGTCACTTAGCTGATTGATGTTATCTTCAGCAACCCGACTCCAGAGTTTCGTAGCTTCAATGGATATCAGCAATTTACTGCTTATATTTTTCCGTTTTATTCCTTTTTATATACATTTGACATTGGTGAAAGTTTTATTTTCAGTATGTTTTTGTGTTCGTGTGTACATAGTGCGTGTGCAGCCATGCGCCCGTCTCACCGGATGTGCGTTCTCGCGCGTGCGCCTGGCTGCGCAGAGGGCGAACGTGTAGGGTGCTTGATAATTTGTCATTTGCATTTTTTTTCCATTTTTTTTTACTTTACACACACTTTTTAGCAATTTCCCTTTTTTCCTCTTTTCTTTCGACTTGTTGCAATTTTTGTCACGATTTGTTCTAACATGTGTACATTTATGCACACAGGTATATAGATAGATG